CTGAAATATCGGGTCCGGCTAAAGACCAATTCAGTGCCATTCCTCTTCGATCGGCTGGCGACTTTACCACAACTCTTGCTTGTGATATTCAGGAAAAATGGGCGGAAAAGAAAGTACCTGGTATAGTGACTGTTGATGTCCAAGGGGCATTTGACGGTATCCAGAATGGACGACTCTGCCATAGACTTCGAATCCAAGGATGGCCACCGAACGTGGCTCGCTGGGTGACATCTTTCATGGAAGAGCGGGAATCCACAATCTCCATCGAAGATACTACATCACCGCCCTTCCAAACTCACTGTGGTCTCCCACAAGGCTCATCTGTACCTCCTATTCTATTTATGCTATACCTTGCCCCTATTTTCCACATGGAAACCGCCAAAAGAATATTTGGATATGCAGATGATATTGCCTTCTTTCACACGCCCCAATACCTTTAAGAAAATGCAGAGAATCATTTACGGAACCTCCAAGAAGTAATTCAATGGGCCTTAGAGCAAGGCTTGAAATTAGACGCAGACAAGTACGAGCTCCAACACTTCTCTCGCCACCGGTGTGACCAACAGCCCTGAAATACTCCCATAGTAAGAGCTGGCCCCATTACTGTCTCTGAAAATACTGCTCGCCCATTCACTCGCTGGCTCAGAGTACTCTTTGATAAAATGCTCTCCTTTAAGTGGCATGCCCGAAACCTTGCCTCAAAGGCCCTCAAGGTTAGCCATGCTCTTTCATTCCTCGGAAACATAACAAGAAAAGTTCCTCCTCATTTACTAAGTCATGCAGTAGATGCATGTCTCCTCCCCATCGCGTATTACGCCTCAGAGACTTGTTGGCCAGGCAGATCTAGAAAAGGTCTCAAGGCAAGCAAATAAAATCGTGTAGACTCTCTACTACAGCAGCTTTCAAAAGTCATACTTGTTGTAATTCTAACAGTCCTGCATCTTTTACACTAGTCATGTACTATCTCGTTTTCGTTTCCGTTATTCGTATCATTTAATACTGCGCCACATCTATTTTCTGTAATATTCATTACTCTTGGCGCTTAACATAAAATATGTTGGAAATTATGGTATATGCATGATTCTGTCTTACACTCAGCTAGCTTGGAGGTCTAATGGTGGTCAAGACATACCTTCACCACGACAACATCGTCACACTGGGACATGGGCGCATATCCTGGCTTATTTCTAAATTCGTCTCAGTAGGACTAATTCCTGTACATATAGCTAGTGTTCTTCTCCTTCAGAAATCTTCAGCTCATCACATTAACTGAATATCTCTGAAGGTCTATTCATACCCTCTTCGTGTCACCCTACCAAGCTTCACCGTTAAGCTCTATTCAACTGCTTCGTTGTTCGGCAGATATCCTTCACCTCCCTATACCATTCCACCATTCTTCTACGATCCATAACCTCACAATAATACTCACTTCCGCCCGTGTAACACTTTCAGCGTATCGCACCACACCAACAGCAATCCTACACCGTGAATTAGGGTTACAGTAACCGTAAATAGCTCTCAATGACCGTTTGCTTATGTGATAGAACTAAGCTGGCTGTGATGAAATTCGATGTATTGAACTAATTAAAGAAGAAAGGAAACTACTGCTACCAAAGAAGGTTACTTATAATCCGTTCTAACTCGTCCCTTAGCTCACTATTAGATAGTCCTTCAACCAGACGTCATTTCATTTTCACTCATACATTACCTCATTCCAGCTCGCACGTCATCTAAGATTTCTCCTTATACGCCATTCCCATGATTTAGAAATGATGTAGCCACCTTCGATCTTGCTTAGGTGCCTGTCTAAGCCACAACACGGTCAACCCGTAACAGCTTACATTCACAGTCCAACTACGCCGCCTAGATCCTCGACATTCGTTCTTACACCGAGCTAACAGAGTTCTCAGTTTACAGCGTACGAACTCTCGCTTTGCTCGGCGTGTACTATCACTTCCAAAATCAGAGCAAATAAATTCAACTGCCATGCCTCCCTGGAATCCACGTGGTTGCTAAGAAGCCACACAATCCCGGGTGACTGGACCAAAGAGTGCCTCTGCAGATGAAAATAGACAGCTCTTCCCTGATTTTATCCAGACTATCCCCTTTGGAGATACCATTATTTACTCAGACGGATCTAAGCAACTAAATGGCCTGGGAGGCGCTGGCTCCATTGACTAACAAGGTGGTGTACAAGTTTTACATAAGAGTATCGCTCTTGGAAAGGGCGTCGAAGTTTTTGATGCGGAAGTGAAAGGCGCCCTAGGAGGGGCAAAATCAGTACTAGCACTCTCAACTGCTAAATTCGCAACAGACCTCTAGATTTGTCTAGATAACTTAGAGTTGCCACTCGACTTTCATCTCACTTTTCAGAGTCCTCACAAGCGCAATTTGATGAGTTCCTCACCTTGACACCCAAGTGGCAAGAACACTCTCAGCTTGCCCACACTAGACGGGGCCAAATACGGGTTCGATGAGTTCCGAGCTACACATTCATAATTGGAAATGAAGCCGCAGACAAAGCAGCCAAAGATGGCTGCAATTTACCAACTTCAGATGACCTATTTTTCTCATGTGCCGGTCTAAAGCGCTGGGCAAATGAGTTCACAGCGCAGGCTACTGGCAAACTATGGAGAACTCATCTCCCCCTGCACATAAGCTATGAGAAACTAAGAATTAAATCAGCTCCCTCTAGGCCTAAAAAACTTACCCTTCCGCGTGCCACTCTAGGCCGTATCCTAGCACCTAGATCTGGACATGGAGATTTCGCCAACTACCACGAGCGCTTCAACCACGACAATGCACCGAAATACTGCCGATATGGCCATAGAATGGCCCCACTATATTTTTTCTCCTGCCACATAGGGAAAAGAAGATCAAGTCTTATGTAAGGTCCACCTTCAAAGATGATCTCGTTCATTCTTGGCACACATGAAGGGGTGTAGGAATACTCTCGCATACAGTACCCTAATCTGCTTGGAGTAAACTTAACCCTGAAACTGATCAGGAAGGAGCTTTGGATCAGTCATGAATTAGTCATGGAAGGAAAGGTGGTCAGAGCTGAGATGGAAAACTATTCTGGCGAGGAGTTCATTTGGGAGTAGTGTCAGTGGATAGAGGGAGTTGCGATATATATACTTAATATAATATATTTGTTAATTCGCCCCAAAGAAAATCTACTGTAGCCGTCGCTCTAAAATTGCGGAACAACGAGGGGAGCGAAAATTCGGAGAATGGCTACAAGAAACTCGATTCTTTACAGAGATACTCCCATAAAACACCTCGGAGATTCAAGGGACGCCTAAGCGGGCTAGCTAAAGAAGAAAGACATGTAACTCAATGGAGCAACAAAATTGTTTTTTTTCGGCAGTGGAGGTCAACAGAGAATGTGGACTGACCTATGCAAGGGACGGCGCTAAGCAATCATTTCATCACCACACACAAGAGCTTAACAATCTGCGGGAAGTAGCTATGTGAATGCACTTTCTATGTATATAAAGTCTTGTATTGGTTTTTTTTCCTGTCCTTTCCTTTCAAATATGTGGAAGCTCGGGGTAAGACCCTAGTGTCTTTTCTCTCTACGGACTTAATAGGGCCACGCGTCAAGCGCGTGGCTCGCCAGACGTAAAATAAAGGTCATCATTATCATCACCTACTCATGTAAACTAAGCTAGTCAGGCCACATGACCTTCCTATCCCTACACAGATTTAATCCGTAGCAGTAGGGCTCTCTAGTCAACATTTACAACGTAATACCGTGTCCCACGTATCTTGGAAGGTTATTTACCCCGTAATAATATAATATACTCTAGGTCTTAGCAATGTTACCGACGAGTCGAAATCTACCTTTCTTGGGGGCGGAAGGGTCTTTTACCATGCTATCGTGGGCTTCTTGTTCGCCCGCCGGTGGGTAGCACATGTTGTAATATAACGAGGGCTTTTCTGACTTCCGTTGAAGCGTTTGGTACCGCATTATCTTTCCTCAATCCTAGCATCATTATCGTCGTCTTTTTCGTCTTATGTGTTACCGGAAGCGTATCCTTGACGGAGCGGGAGATAACTCAGCTCAAAGTTGAAAAGGTGTTACTCAATCTCGGCCCTGTAGACTCTACAGTGAGAGCTAGAGATTCGTAGGGGACACTACTGACAGGTGTTTAGAATATTCTCCCATCATTTGTTGTAGTTACCTATCAGTGCTAACTAGAAATCTCCTTTCTATTCATATAGGATAAAAAATTGATTTATTCATCACCAAATCGGTTTCAGTCACAAAGGTCTAGTCTCATGAACCAGGTCATGGATAACTGTGATTAGAATCAAATTATGGTTCTCTCCGCAGGTGTTTAGCAAAGTTTTACTAATGTGAATCTCTCTCAGAGTTGATTGAATTGATTGTCCTCGACCATGAGGAATCTATCTAGGTACTATATACATCTTGAGTATCCTACTAATTCCAAATATAGACTGACTATTAGATTGCCCATGCGAACTACTCATAACTCTGATCCATACATAGTTCTAAAATTGGCTGTGACATTATCATGGGTAATAGAAGGAGTGAAATAACAAGGGAGTTGTGCGTAGGAAATCGGCCATCCGTCTAGTCGCTAGTTGTAACATTTGCATGGCTAAGTTATTGCCCTTGATGCATCAGCCCCGTATACTTACTTGTAAACTACTCAACTTAAACATCGTGATACTATATTTAAATTTACGGTAACCTGTTTGACAGCAGGTATATTTATTTCATACATCACCCAACTTGAAATGAGTTCGAATATACTGGACGTTTAGTAATGCATTTGAAACTGGGTAACGGCGAATAAATAAAATTGTTGTAGTAATTTTCTCTTCACATTCACGCACGAAAAAAAAGTGGTGATGGCCACTATGAATTAACCTTCATCACACTAGATTTTTACAATTGATTGTCATTTATGGCTGTTCTGACAATTTTCGACTATTGTGCTGTCTGACTCTCCTAAAAAGCTCTGGTTTATCTATACTATTGAAGTTTCAATCGCTTCAGCCTCCATGCCAACATTGTTGGAAATATTTGTAGATGTATCACTGGAAGTTCTCGCCCTGCTTAACTCTCTACCATCGCTCTCAATAGTACAGTTGTTGATCTGGTGACTTTGATTTAAGTGATTTGGCATGTGCTGGGCATCGAAAGAAGGATCAGAATTAAATATCTGTGTGTCTAATTGCCAATCCTTTAAATCGTCTTCAGCATCATTAAGCACTTGGCGAGCCTGGCTAGTGTACTCAAATGTTTGCCGCTGATCCCCAGGGGTAATTGGGGAGTCATCAAGTAAGCTCAGCAGACGACAGCCATGCCGAGCTAAAATAATATGTTTCTCGGCCCGTTCGATAGTTGCAGCCAGCTCGGTAGAGTATGCTTCTTTCATTTTCTTCCTGGTCTAGTGGTATTAGTCGACCTTAATAACCTTTCTCAATGTTCGACTTACTATGTTGGTTAATTGTGCCTCAGCAACTAAATTTTCCGCTTCTGCACGGACCAATTCTTGCTCTAATGTAACTAATCTCGTACTTTCTGGTTCTTTTGCCTTAAGTTTTGCAATTTCATCCGAAATCTTCGACTTAAAATCTCTACTTGGTTGCACACTCTTCTCTGTGTCTCGAACCATCTTCAGGATACCTCGGCTACTTTCTAACTTATTTGCATAGTGATCTTCCTGTTCGCCAATTTCTGATAATAGAACACCGATTTTATCAGATATATCACTGATAGATTCATCATCTGTAGACTCGCCCCAGATAGAGAGTTGATTAGCAATATCTATCCGGTCCCTAGCTGCAGCTCGGTAGCTTGAGATTAGATGATTTTCTGACTTTATCATCTTGTATAGCTTCTTACTGAGCCCGGACTGGATTGTGCCGCGCAGCGAAGAAAAATGGAAGCCATGTCGCATCGGACTTGGTTTATTCTGCTTATTTGAACGAATTGAAAGAGATCGATTCCTCGGGATGATGTTAGCGGCTTATATTACATGATGATTAGATATCACGAAGAAAGTTGTAAAGTGACAGCTCAGGGTATCCACAGAGTTACGACTGGCCTATCGCAATGGTAGAAATTAAAAGGAAGGATAAAACGCACATATTTATTTTGGATAAATAGGGGTTGGTTCCTCTGATTTACAATTTGTCGCCCTAGAATTTAGCGATCGCAGCTAGTAGGGAAAGACGATAAATATGTACAGTTGTATCGAAGCAGCAGGGTAATGATATACATGACAGATAGAAGTTAGTTCTGTAAAGACTCAATTATTTTCTGATCACCGAGAAAAACGAGCGGGACTTGGAAGGAGCAATGATGTCCAAACATTCAGAACGAGCACACTATTTTTAACTACATTTCGAGCTTGTCCCTCCTCGGTATCCAAAAACGAAAAGATTACTGAAATCTCTAAATTATTTTCTGCTTTCCTCACAAGAATAAAGAAATAACAGCATTTCGGAATACTACAACGGTTGAAATTCATGATATAAGGCTCACATGTCCAAATATGTTTCCTAATTTTAGTTCAAATGCAAGCCCGGAACTTTGGTTGCAACTAAACCTATTGTCTCGGGGTAGTATTTCACCTACTCATGTAAACTTAGCTAGTCAGGCCACATGACCTTCCTATCACTACATAGATTTTATCGGTAGCAGTAGGGCTCTCTAGTCAACGTTTACAATGTAATACTGTGTTCCACATATCTTTCTTAAGACCTATGTAAGAGGTTATTTCAAATTTAGAGTCAGCATGTGATGTGGTTTAAGTGACTAAATTAATCAAGATTAGAACAAATGAAAGGTCTTGAATAAAGAGTGATAAAGTTCAAAAAATCAGAGATACTGTCGGAATGGTTTTTCTCGTTCGGATTATTTGGATTTCGTGGCTATGACTTTGCGCGTAAACTCTGTCACTGCATTTGGTTGGATGGTGCAGTGGTACACCATTCAGGCCGTTCTCCCATGAAAATACTTGGTAGATTAAACACCTACTCTAATCGGGATAGGAGATGACTGTTTCGAATCCAGTAAAACCCACACACCACTCTCTCCCGCGGTGATATTGTGCTTGTGGGATGATGAAAGCACACTCGGTTGGCCACAGGGTTTTCACGCTTTTTCCTGTGGTTGGTTTGCACGGAAGAAGTTACATGCCACAAGGATTAACCTTCAGTAGTATCTGCAAACGAAATCTGAGTATAAGTGTTCCAGATTTCAAGTTGAGTCATTTTACTCAAAGTACATATCTTCCCATAAAACCTGCATGGGCCTCAAGGCGCCAAATAAGGTAAAATGAATTATGTAAACTATGTCACTGCATATGCGATTCCCGAGTTTCGGTTAATTATTTATCCGAACTTGACATGAGTTCATTATTCTAACTTGACGCCTTGATACCCGTGCGATTATTTTAGAGTAACATTTATTTCGAGTGGAATGGCTCATTTTGACTTTTGGAACGCTTACACTCAGATATCATTTGGAGATAGCGCTCAAGGTCAACCCTTACGGCGTACCACTGCACCAGCCAGGCACAGACCAAAAGATGGATAACCACCCTCTAGCATTTGTGTAAAGAATCGACATGGAACACATACCTTTTCTGAACAACCTTTATTCTCACGTACCACAGCACTCTCATCGCTTCAAGCACACAATTGACTTAAATATATGACCTTTACTATATTAATATGAATCTTAAATATGAATTAAGATAGAATAAGTATGTGAAGTGTAGTGAAGAATCAAGCTAAAGCCTGAAATTGATTTGTCGAAATCAGCAATAATCCATCAAAAAATATGTGTATAATGAGGCGTAGGAATTATTCGAGCTATCCTGCATGATTCTCTTAAATTATGAATCCAATATTGCGTGAATACTATTCTCTGGATGTGGAGACTTCACTCGTATCTTCATTGAAAGAAAGAATTTACAAACAATCGATAACATCTATGAAACTTAGGGAGCTTCGTGTCGTTGTCATGTGAATAGCTAAAATGGGAGAGCGAATGAAAGAATTAATAATGGTTTACTTCTACTGTGAGACAATCAGAGCACTATAAAATCTGCTTACGCAATCTGTTACGATTTGACCGTAGGGGGACTATTCTCAACACCTGCCAGTGGTGTCCCCTACGAGCCTCCAGCTCTCACTGTAGAGCCTGCAGAGCCGAGATTGAGTGACAAAGTCGTTGTTTAGATGAGGATTCCCAATCGCTTCCGCAGTCTGAGTCGTCTTCATCCCTAAGCATATACCCCTATCATTGAGGCTTCTTCTACACGTTAGTAAGAATAAAATGATAAATGATGACTATGAAATTCACGGATGTCTCGTGGCACCGACCACGACAATCTATATATGTATCGAGCTTGAGACTAGGTATAAACTTGTATTTCTATTAACGGTTTAACTTCTTAAATCCATGAAATTCTCTACACTCCGGATAATGTAACGATCAATGGTACATGGCAAAGTAAACTACCAGAATACAGAAGGGGAGTAGTGGGGCGCTTAGCCGTCCGGATTGTGACCAAAGAATGCGAGGGGTGCATTCTTGATGGGTCGTTAAACTTGGCGTTTCGCTCGGACTGAGAGTTCGGGATCCTCATCACCATGATCATAAAGCTAACCACGGTTAGATCAGAAGGTAGGGTCGAAGCCCTTCTCATCATCAAACCTTGATCATGGAGGAAAGGCATCCCATGAGTTTCCAGAGCTTACTAAACTCCCGACACGGCTATAGTGGACTTGACCAAGTTGATCTGTACTGTTACAGAGAAGGGAGATATAGATGAATATGCGCACCTCATGTGGTCCCAGTGTCTAGGCCTCGCTTAGCTGGGGCTACAGGTCTTTATTGAGACTTTTTCCGCGCGCGCAGTTTCCATTGCTACGTTTTTTTTTCTTTTTTTGGGTAGAAGGTTTCGTGGAAAGTGTGGCTGAACGGCTATTCATCACGGGCAATATATCAATGATCTCACAAGTGATAAAAGAGGCAAGGAGCACTGTACATGGTGTGGCCTCAGCTAAATTGTCTTTGACTCAAGTGCTACAATAAATATATACATATAAATACAGGTACTAGAATTCAGTGGGTGATGAAGGCATGTCTGGACAACTCGGGATTTTTGAGATGTTCCCTGGGTGGGTATTCACGGATGAGTTGACTTGGGGTGAAGAAAGAGCCGCCATAACTTATCAGTGGTACTTGCAAATGAAATCTGAGGCATGATTGCTATTCCTTTACGTTGAATCATCCATTCTGTACTTTTCTTTGATATTGTGTCATAGCTAGATAGCTGCATACGCAATTCAAATCTGATGCAAAAAAAAACGCAGGTACTAAAACTCCTTTTCCTCCCAAAAGATAGCCCGTGTGGCATCTCCTATTAACAGTAGTAAACAACGCTAGCAGCCGGCAAAGACGAATTCTTCACCTTCCAGTAGTGCCGGTGTAATCGCTCAGTATGCTCTGCATATCTGGGATAGCCAAGAAGAATCGCATCCGAATCGAAGTCGAAAGCAAACACATGCATATCTCCATTTGACGACTTCTCAATCATGCAGCGCTCACCATCATCTTCTGAGTCCTCAACCTCTGGCTAACCACACATCATCTCGCCTCAACGGCCGATAAAGGCGCCACACCACTTAAAAACAGGAGCTTGCCTCATTCATTACCGGCTATCACTCACTACATATTTACGATACTACGTTTACCTGCGAGGAAATTAGGTCATGATAAACAAAGTTGGGGTCTTGGTCTATGGGGGACTGCTGCTCTAATGGGGTTATACATCTTGAGGAAGGAGAGGCGGCTGATATGTGGAGTGAGAGGGGAAAGAGATCTCTGAAGACCATGCTGGGACTGACATTTTCGAGGAGTTTTCAACTTTGGATTTTTTGTGGGCGCCAAGACCAAGATTTTGGCTAATTAGCCAGGAGAACTTCTATTGTCGATGAGTCAACGGCACTCCCCAGCGCCCTGGACGGCACAAAAGAAGTTAGGCTAAGCTACTATACAGCAATCACGCTCTGTCAAGACTTTTCTGAAATTTCAGCACGACCTTCGGGATGGAGTTGGAAGGAGGCTAGAAAGGTAGAGGGTGAATTCTCCGAGGTACCCACAAGTCTGCAGCGCCCAGCTGGCCGGCCTCATCGAACGCTTCAGAAGGATCACTTTGTCTTCGGACTTAGTCCTAATGTCGGCATTAGGAGAGCCCCGCACGCAATAGTTTTTGCGATTTTTTCCGGCTGCCATACACCCGCAAATGGCCATCATTTCGCTGGCTGAAGCGGGGAGATAATGAAGGGCAAAGGGCTCCTCTAAGGGTATGATCGAATGAGGACTTGTGAGGGGTGGTACTGTTTGAGGGGAGCTGTGTGGGAGGCATAGGAGGGGATATACTACTGGTATAGATATCCCTGGCATGTAGCCGGAGAGGACCTGCATGTCCTACATAGTCATAGGCTCAGACAGGACAATAAAATGAATTTTTAAAAAAAAATGGGTCATACGTAATCGGCGTTCGACAAACACCGCTCCGCCAGTCCTACCCCAACGACCAAATGTCGCGACTCCCCCTGCGACCGTCATCCCAGTAGCCGTTCCCCGGAATATTACAAAGGCTACTGCACCTCTTCAGCCCAGAAGCACCTGGGCCACTGTCACCAGAGCAGGACACCAAAAGTCAGGAGCACAGGCTCCTGCAAACATCACCTCGTCTGCAGCTGTCCCATCAGTCAGGAAAGTAGAGAAGAAGCCGGCAGCAGCAACAACAACATCGAAAGATGACCGACTCTTCCTGCATCTGGATGCAAACCACGAGTGGAGACACCTCTCTCCAGCTGGCGTTCGCGAAGCCGTGGCTAAACAAACACATTGCACCCCTTCTAATATCGACCAGGTGCAACGCGTTCCCACGGGGCTTGCCATCCGTGCCAAAAGCCCGGATGCAAAATCCCGACTGCTGGAGGCCTCCAGCACCTTCGCACAAGTGGAGGCAAAACTAGAACCACCAAGTGATCTAGTTTCCCTTCGGATTGCTACGGTTCCAGTCGCCGTGTTCGGCCTAGAAGGACGAATCGAAGTCACTCCCGAGATGGTTGCCGCAGAGATCTTCAGGGTAACTAACTACACTCCAGACCGAGTGAGGATACACGGAAATACTAAGCTCGGCGCTCCTCACAGATCCTGGGCGGCTCTCTTCCCAAAAGAAGCTAGCTCAAAACTGGGCTTCAGGCTCTTTGACGACTCAGGAGTCGCTACAATCCAACGAAACCACCCTCCCATACAGCAGTGTAGGCGATGTCTCGGTTTCCACGCCACCCGCGGATGCTCTCGTGCACCCGCCTGCTGGAACTGTGGATCCGCCATGCATTCAGCCTTCGTGTGTAAAGCTCCGACCAAGTGCCGAAACTGCGGAGGGCCCCACCAATCTGGCAGTCGAGACTGCCCGGCGCGTCCCAACAGGTCTGGCCCAGCCACTAAGGACCAACTTGTGACGATCCGACAAGCTGGCCAACGGGAATATCAGGCCGTCGCCAGGGCCAAAGCTGTAACTAAGGCCGCAGAGGCTGCTACAGCTGCCGCAAGAGCGACCCGACCAGCTTCTCCGGCTGTTGGTAAGGACACATCTTCGACAGACACAGCAATGGCTGAGGGTTCGGGCTTTGGGGCCTTGAACCCTGAAGAAGCTTTGTGAAGGGCGCCCTACGGGCCCCTTCTCGCCTCCCTTCAACACTAAGTTTTATGTCAATAAACGTAGGCAGGGGTGGCACAACCCACAACATTGCGCTTTCTCGAGCTTATGAGCTAGGCGTAGATGCAGTGCTAATTCAAGAGCCGCGATGGAATTTGAGATCAAAAGAAACCATATCACACCCAGGGTATATCTGTCATATACCGCACGGAGGTGTAGATGTCAGACCGAGGGCTGTGACATACACTCGAAAGTCCAAAAATGTAATATTAGCGGAACAGTTATTTCCTTGTTCCACACCTACTGGTGATAACTGCTGGGTAAAGGTCAATGGAATCACTTTTCTCAACGTTTATAAGGCCCCTAGAGACTCGACTACTGCTCGCCCGCTTTTTGACTGGAAACCTTCTGCGAAGTCCATTGCAGCCGGGGACTTCAACTCAGTGCATGCTGCCTGGCAGCCAGGAGTAACTCGGCCGTATGGATAGGGTGATGAGATAGAGATGTGGGCAGAAAACCACAATCTCTCTTGCCTCATAATTGGAGAGCCGACCCATAAAGCTGGCAATACTCTGGATCTCGCCTGGACGAACATATCTGGAGCCTGCGCTTGGGTCGATCGGGAGGAGTGTATAACCAGCGACCATCTTCCGATCCGCGGAATCGTACCTGCAGCAACCGTTACAAGTGACACGGCTCCAGCAAAGATCAAGGTACCCAAGGGAAATCTGCCAAAGTTTGCGCGGGCTATTGCAAAATGGGTACATCCGCCCTCAGATTTGAGTACAATAGAGAAAGTGGATGCATACGCTCAGGAGATATGCTTCCATCTCACGGAGGCCATTAAAGCAACTGGAACCCGGGTCAGAAAGAAAAGCGGAAAATCTGCACCATGGTGGACTCCTAGGTGCAAATCCGCACACGCCGAATACCGAGCCTCAACATCACTCTCACAGCGGGCTATCTGTGCGAAGAAGTTACGTGAGACTATCACAGCCGCCAAGAAGGAGCACCAGACACGCCAAGTCGAAGAGATGACATCTCCGGCAGACATATTCAAGCTGATGCGCTCGGCCAACCATAGACAGGTCAGACCTCCTCCGCCGCTCAACTATAACGGTTCCGTTATCACCGACCCGTATGAGCGAGCCACAGTTCTCCGTGATGCTCTTCTTACACGTCACCAAGCATCGGACGATCTTCCTACGTGCACTGCTCCCAGTAATAACCGGATACCCTGGGAAGACGATATATCGGACAACGAGGTGCGAACTTGTACCATTGGCTGTACTAAGGCAGCCCCAGGAGCAGATGGAGTCACAGTTGAACTTCTTGAGGCCTGCTGGAAGACAATCGGACCGTATGTTACGCAGCTCTTTAAAGCTTGCATACGGCTCGGCACGCATCCATCTTGCTTCAAACTTGCAGAAGTGGTACTATTGGAAAAGCCAAATCGGGATCCAACTTCAATCAAAGGTTGGAGACCAATCGCTCTACTCTTGTGCCTAGGCAAAGGATTAGAAAGACTTCTGGCCAAGCGAGTGGCACACCTCGCAATCATTTACGATGTGGTGGGCCACCAACAATTCGGCGCGCTCCCAAAGCGATCTGCAACGGACCTGGTCTCCTGCGTAGTCCATGACGTCGAAGAAGCACGCTCCCAGGGATGGGCCTCGACATTCGTCACTTTAGACGTCCAAGGAGCGTTCGATGCAGTGCTTCACAATCGCTTGGTTAGACGCATGCAAGCCCAGGGATGGCCAGACTCGATCCTCCGATGGACGACTTCATTCCTCACACATCGGAAGGTACAAGTGCGTTTCTCCGGTGGAGTCATCACACAGAAAGAG